CTTGGTTCAGCAGTGAATCCACTGCACACAAACTGAGCACCCATGCGTGTGGGGTCTATGGGGGAGTCCCTGGGGGAGGGGACCCCTGGGCCCCACCCCAGAGCAAAGCAGCACCAGAAGGCTCTAACGGAGCTGAGGGGCCCCTCCTGGCGGGGGCCACGGTCCCACACTGGGCCCAGGGTGGTAGGGGCGGGTAGGGCCCTGCTGGGACGTGCCCCATGTGACCGGGGAGCAGGATGCGGTGCTGGGGTCCTCACGCCTAGGAGAGGGGCTCCGGGGATGGGCTTCTCAGGAGAAGGAAGAGTGTGCGGAGACGGCTCTGAAGGAGGAAAGGGGCAGTATGGGGTGGCTGGCACTTAGAGATGTGGGCTGCCGGGATGGGTGTCTGTCCAATCTGAGGGGAGAGGAGCAACAGTGGGTGCATTCCCCCCGCCAGGGAGCGGCTGTGGGGCTGCAGAAGGCCTGACCTCCTGACCCCAGCGCCGTGTGAGTGTTGGAGGCCAGGAACGTCAGCCTCCAAGCCCCCCCCCCCAGGGAGCCAGCCCCCCCTTGTTATTTCTGGCTCCTTTACTTGGTCAAGAAGGGTGTCAGTGGTAATGCAAATGAGGAGGTGTCGGAGGTGCTGGCCGACACCCATCCTGTCCCCCTCCCGGCCCTCCCCCGGTGCCCACACTCGCACAGTCGACTGGAACAGCTACGGGGCACGCCTGGTGCCCCTGCCCGGGGCTGGGTTGGCATGGAGGGTGGGCGTAGCTGCCTGCCGGTTCTCAGGGCTGCTGTTCTGCCACTGGAACAGGGGCTGGCACCCAGAGGACCAAGAGGGCCTCCAGCTGATGCCCAGGCCCTCCCCTACCCCGGCCCCTCCTGTTCTCTGCCCTGCCAGGCTTCCCTGGGCACTGAGATCTAGACAGTCCATGCCCCACACGGGGCCTCCTCTCCCAGGCTGCCCAGGGGAAGAGCACGCACAGGGGCATTCCCCACGGCACCAGCACGGCCCTCTGAGGACCTGCGAGGTCTCCAGAGGCACCTAGGCAGCCAGGGGCACCGCTCTGAGCGCCAGGCATTGCCCTGAGTGAGCGCGGAGAAGCCAGGGAAGGGCAGGGAGAGGGGCAGGTGCCAGAGAATCTCACACCCCACGCTCTCCTCACGTTCCCTGGCCTCTGCCCGACACCTTGCCCGCCCCTTCCCAGCGAGGACCCCTTGCCCCGGGGGACATTCCAGCTAGCATGTCTGCCTCCATTCTTCCTGCGCCAGCCAGGGCTGCTCTGCTCTCGTCCATGCTGAGAGAGAAATGGGGCCAGGGGAGCCGTTCCCTTCTCCCTACCCCTTGGAGATGCCCCCACCCGCTCTGCTCCTCTTCATTAGCCCTAATCAGCAGGGTGAGGCGTTTCTCATTAACACGCTGACTCACCCACACGCCTCTCCCTTCTGTGAGCGATCAGCTCCTCTCCCCACAGACACACACACCACGGCCGCCGCCGCCGCCGCCACCACCACCACCACCACCACCACCACCACCACCACCACCACCCCGCTCTGAAAGGAGGATCCCTCCTCTCCGCCCATTCCCTGGCACAGGGACCAGAGAGGGGCGGGGGTCTCCATGGCAGCTCAGGCTGAGGCAGTCCTGGGGGACAGGAGCAGGGCTGTAGGGTCCCCCAGAGAGGAGGCAGAGTGTTTGGAGGCGAGGCTACGGGCAGAGGGGCTGGAGCTGGAGCGGGTGTTGGGTGCTGGCCTTTCGTTGGGTGCTTGGAGACAAACCATGGGTGGCCAGGTCTCTGAGAAGTCTCCCTCACCTTCCAACCCACCCCCACGGCGGGTCTGTGCTGGTGGGAGTGAGCGGGTCCCCCTGCCACCACCCCCACCCCACACCGGGTGTGTCTGCCTCAGCGGGGTCTTCCAACCACTCTGCTCCGCTCCTGTGAAGGCTGCCCCATCCTCTCAGCTTCCCAGGAGCCTAGAGATCTAGACCTGTTTACCCCCCCCACGCAGACCTCAGTGCCCCCACATGACTCCAGAGAAATGGGGAGCCAGCGTCCTTCTAGCTGATGGCGTCCTGCTTGGGAAGGAGGGGTGCGTTGGCAGGACCCCTCAGGCCCACATCCAGCCTCCCAGCCCCATAGCCTCTCCTTCGGTGGGAAGGCTGTGGTCTGGAGGACCTGAGCTGGGGGCATATGTCCCCACTACCCCACCCCCCCCACCCCAGCCCCAGCAGCTGAGCCCTTTCCCAGGTCCTCAGAAACCCAGGAGACAAGAAGCCGGAATCTGCACTTCTGTCCTCAGCTCTCTCACCCGATGACTATGAGGGCGGCATGTCTAGGCTGCAGGAGACCCAAGTTCCCCCCCATCTCCAGGCGAGCCCCCCTGCACTCCTTCCAGGCCACCCTTTGTGTCTGTCTCTGTCTCTGTCTCTGTCTCTCTCTCTCTCACTGATCTTTACAGAGAGGAAGGGAGAGGAGTAGTTAGAAACTTTGATCAGCTGCCTCCTGCACCCCCGCCCCCACTGGGGACACGCCTGCAACCAAGGTGCATGCCCTTGGCCGGAATCAAACCCAGGACCCTTGAGTCCGCAGGCCGACGCTCTATCCACTGAACCATCCAGTTAGGGCCCCCCTTTCTCAATGGCCAGGATTTCTCTCCGCCTGGTGCTCCCGTGCCACCCCCACTTCATCCTCACCCTCCCAGCAAATGCTTCCCAGACCCGAACAGGACCCAGATCCCACACCTGGGTATGGCCTTCCGCTACGGGAGCTGAGATGGGGGAGTGCCAAGGGGCACGGAGCACCCATGTGCCAGAAGATCCAGAACGTTCTTTCCCATGACTTGTGAAGCCACGTCCCATAGGAACCGCTGTTCGCACCTTTCCCGTCACTCAGCCCTTGACTGCAGGTGAAATCAAGGCTGGGTGAACTTTAGAGGAGCAAGGTCCCTGGTCGGCAAATGGCGGCTCGCGAGCCACATGCGGCTCTTTGGCCCCTTGAGTGTGGCTCTTCCACAAAATACTATGGTCTGGGCAAATCTGTTTTGAAGAAGTGGCCTTAGGAGAAGTTTAAGTTTAAAGAATGTGGCTCTCGAAAGAAATCTCAATCGCTGTTACTGTTGATCGTTGGCTCTGTTGACTAAAGAGTTTGCTGACCACTGCCCCAGGGAATCTGGACCTTGACACTAAGTGTCAAGGGAAGATTGGCGGCCCTGGGTCTAAAGCTGAACCCCGGGCCTTCATCAGCCATTGCCCCCGCCTCTTGTGTCAAAGGGGAAAAGAGCCTAAACCAGTGTGGCTCAATAGATAGAGCATCAGCCTACGGATTGAAGGGTCCCAGGTTCGATTCCGGTCACGGGCACATCCCCAGTAGGGGGGGGGGCGGGCAAGACCCCGAGGGCTTGAAAACTGTGCAGTAGGGAGTGTGCAGGAGACACCTGTCGATGGTTCTCTCTCATCGATGTTTCTAGCTCGCTATCCCTTTCTCTTCTCTCTGTAAAAAAAATCTCAATGGCTAGAGCGTTGGCTTGGGGACTGAAGGGTCCCGGGTTCGATTCCGGTCAAGGGCATGTACCTTGGTTGCGGGCATATCCCCAGTGGGGGGTGTGCAAGAGACAGCTGGTCGATGACTCACTCTCTCATCGATGTTTCTAGCTCTCTATCTCTCTCCCTTCCTCTCTGTACAAAATGAATAAAATAAATTTTTTAAAAAATCTATAAAATAAAATTTTTTAAAAAAAACCCACAAAGGGTGAAAGGATCCTGTGGAAATGAAAGGCGCCTGGAGTTGATGCAAAAGAACCTCAGGCCCGTTGTGCAGACAAAGGGCAGCCCTGGCGGGGGCAGGAGTCAAGGGTTCATGACCTGGCTCTGACCTCCAGGGCTGGGAGGCTTCTGAAGCAGCCGCTGAGCCTGGAGCCCAGCCCTTCCCCTGCTCTCAGACTCTGAGGACATGGAACACGGATGTTCTTCCTCTCTGAGGCCCCGGCCTGGTTCCTGGCGGGCAGAAGCCGTCTGATGAAGAAGTAGTTTCTGCGAAGACATGAGCCCTTGGGGAGGCTTTAGACCTCCACGGGCCAGGCCTTCAGGGCAGGAAAATTCAAGAGTCCCCGACGCCTGCTCAGGCAGGGGTGGCTGCTCTGTCACACAGATACCCCCCGTCGCCCCAGATCTGTCCTCCATAAACTCACAATCACCTGTGGCCGCTTGCCTCTGCACCCCCTACTTGCCCAGTGACTGCTCTCCACGGCGGTGTAGCCTTGAGACACTGTTTTCAAGCCCTGGGGTCTCGCCCCGCCCCTGCCGTGGAGGGCACACACCGAGCGCAGATGGAACAGGTAAGTTTTATTTGGACTTTCAACTTGTTCAGAGGGCTCAGGGGCCCCCACCTCCCCTCTGCATCCCCCCCGGTCCCGTCCCCTCTCCCCTCCCTGGGGACACACCCGAGGTGCGATGCCATGTGTCTCCAGAGTCCTTGGCCCCTTCCCCGCGGCCGGACACCCCCCTGTGCTCCCCTGCGCCCAGGGGGAGGGGCGGCGTGAGGAGGGAGGGGCCTGGAAGAGTTGGATCAGAATGGTACATGCACTGACAGTAGCGGCCACCGCAGCCGGCCCGGGGCCGGGACCCCGGAGAGGCTGGCAGCAGGGGGTGGAGTCGTTGTGGGTGGCAGGCTCTGGCGGTGGGGAGCTCCCCGCCTCAGCCCCGGGACCCCCTGGCCTCCTGCTTACCCGTCCTTCTGAGGGTACAACTCTGAGGTAGATTTCACAGAGGGAATGTGGGTCACTGGGGAGCGGGGGAAGGGGTTAGCTCTTTTGTGTTTGATCTCCACAGCACCCTGGGCCCATCCTTAGGTTCTGGCCTGGGAGGCAGGGCTGATGGCACCCACACGGGTGCCAGGGGCTCAAGTGGGGTGAGAGGGAAGGGGAACAGCTGTCGTAACCACCCGTGCCTCGGAGCTGGGGGTTCCGGGGGGTTGCACGGGTCTAAGAAGGCTGGCACAGACAGTCCCCTGGCCTGAGGGTCACGGTGCAGGGACCCCGGCCCACAGGGCAGCCTCTTTAGGCTGGGTCTTCCCGGTCCTCCCTCTCCTCTCCCACCCTCCCTGTTCCCCAGGGTGGGCAGAGAGGGAGAACGGGACTGGCCTGCAGAGAGTGGCAAGAATCAAGGTGTCTCCTTCCCCGCACAGGGGCCCAGGCCACGTGCCCTGAGCTGGCCATGGGATGGAGGAACTGGCATCCGTGTGCAGGGCGGGCTCTGGAACCCCCCTCAGTCTATGCCCCCGGGCAGAGCACGGCCAGAGAAAGACAGATGTCTGGGGAGGGGCTGAGGGAGCTCCTGGGGCCCTTGGATGCCCTCCCACTCCCCAGGCCCAGCCACCAGACGTCTCCTTGGATCCCACTGTGTTGGAGAACAGAAAGGCAGAGGAGAGGCTGGCAGGGTACCCCCTCCCCGCCCCAGCCCAGATCCCCATCTCCCCTCGGAAGCCAGGGGGCTGGGGAGAGAGCCTTGACTGGCCTCCTGGGAAGAGCCAGAGCTGAGCGGTGCCTGGGCCAGGGAAGATGGCACACACGTTCACTCGGTAGCTAGTGGAGGTATCTGGGGGTCGCCAGGGGCAGGGGCCCCCCACAAGATTCATGCAGCATTCAAAGTGAGTGAGTGCTGGGGGTGACGGGGGCGGGCGGGGACACCCTAGATCTTGCTGTTCTCCAGGTGGGAGTCAATGTGTTTGATGAGGGCGTCGTCCGGGTACCCGACGGGGAAGCCCAGCTGGCAGAGCGGGCAGCTGCGGACGTCGGAGCCCACGGTCTCCATCAGCAGCTGTGGGGAGAGAGGGAAATCCCTTGTGATCCCCCAAAACCCCCCTCATGCTCCCCACATCCCAGCCTGCCCTCTCCCTGGGACCCTGGGTGGGGAGGACTGCAGCGTGCAGAAGGGACCTGGGCACCTTCTGTCTGGTGCCACCCCTCTCCTCCCCGTCCCTGCCCACCTGCCACCAGTTCAGCATCCTCTCCCCACCCCAGGGCCCAGGGTCCGGGGAGGTGTGTGGGAGGTGTGTGTGCTTGGTCTGCCAGGGCATCAGGGTCACGAGGGAAGGCCGGGCACAGACGTGCCCCCACAGTGACTAAGCCTCCGCTGCTGGATAACACAAAGCACTGAATCGTCCCAAGCAACGGGTGACCCAAAAATAACTCTGCGTTGGGCTTTTGAGTGTATTTTGGTCCTTCGAGGTGGCAAAGAGTTGACTCTGACATTCAGGAAACTCATTATTTCAGTGAAACGATAGAACCCTAGGACAGGTGTTACAGGGGCTCTGAGGCCCGATGGCGGGACGAGGGTGCGCAGGCGGGTCCCCGCGCCAGCCAGGACCCTGGGGGTCAGCGTGGCCTCCATCGCCAATGGGAGAGCCGATGCTCACTCCTGAGCCCTGGAATGGGACCAGATAACGGAATCACTGCCCTGGTTACGCAGCTGAGAGCACTCGGGATCGGAGAGGATAAGCCACTTGTCCAGATCCCCACAGCTACGGCGTCTGGGATCGAAACCAGGGCTGCCACTCTGCAGACCCAGAGCCCAGACCGAGGCTTAGTGGCCCATCGGGGTGCGTGCGGGGCGCGCTACCCAGGCCCCGGGGGAGCAGCGGGCGGGGCCCAGGGGAGCGGCCGGGGCTGCCCGGTCTGCCGTCCACTCACGTTGATGGACGGCCAGGACTGCGCGTGCTCGGCGTGGGCGTAGGCGGCGGCGGCGGGCGCCTCGGGGACGGGGAAGCCGGCGCAGAAGGAGGAGCAGCGGACGGCGCCCGCCTCGGGGCTGGGCGGGCTGGGCGGCGCGGACCACTCGTCCTCCTCGGACGGCTGCTTCTCGAAGCGCAGGCGGAGGCCCTCGAAGGCGCGCCGCGGGCTGAGCGGCCGGCCGGGCCCGTAGAGCTCGGCGGCGCCGTAGGCGCGCGGCTTGGGCAGCGTGGCGGCCTCGGCCTGCAGCCAGGGCGGCGCGGCGCCCGCGTAGGCGCCCTCGGCCCGCTCCGAGTAGCTGCGGCGGGCCTGGAAGCCGGCCTTGGCGAGCTGGCTGCCCGGCTTGGCGTAGGCGCGCTCGGCGGGCGGCGGCAGCGGCGGCGGCGGCCGGGGCGGCGGGGCCGGGCCGGCGGGCGGCCCCGGCGAGCGGCGCTGCGGGCCCGGCGACTGGCACGGCGGCCCCGGCGAGCGGCGCTGCGGGCCCGGCGACGGGCAGGAGGGCGAGGCGGGCGAGAGGCGCTGCTGGGGCGAGGGGCACGGGGGGCCCGGTGAGCGGCGCTGCGGGGCGGGGGACTGGCACGGCGGGCACGGCGGCACGGCTCGCGCGGGCGGGGACGGCGACGGGCACTGCGGGCCCGGGGAGTGGCGCTGCGACAGCGGCGAGTGCCTCTGGCCTGGAAGAGAAGCAGGACCGGGTCAGCGGGGCGATGGGGGGGAGGAGGTCAGAACTGGGGGCGATGGGGGGGGGAGGTCAGAACTGGGGGCGATGGGGGGGAGGAGGTCAGAACTGGGGGCGATGGGGGGAGAGGAGGTCAGAACTGGGGGCGATGGGGGGAGAGGAGGTCAGAACTGGGGGCGATGGGGGGAGAGGAGGTCAGAACTGGGGGCGATGGGGGAGGAGGTCAGAACTGGGGGCGATGGGGGGGGAGGTCAGAACTGGGGGCGATGGGGGGAGAGGAGGTCAGAACTGGGGGCGATGGGGGGAGGATGTCAGAACTGGGGGCGATGGGGGGAGGAGGTCAGAACTGGGAGGCGATGGAGGAGAGGAGGTCAGAAGTGGGGGCGATGGGGGGGAGGAGGTCAGAAGTGGGGGCGATGGGGGGGAGGAGGTCAGAAGTGGGGGCGATGGGGAAGAGGAGGTCAGAAGTGGGGGCTATGGGGGGAGAGGAGGTCAGAACTGGGGAGCGATGGGGGAGAGGATGTCAGAACTGGGGGCGATGGGCGAGAGGAAGTCAGAACTGGGGGCGATGGGGGGGAGGATGTCTTGGGGGCCAGAGGCTTGCTTTCCACCAAAGCCCGCCCACCCGCCGCCTCCAACGCCAGTGGAGCCGCATCAGGCACGGAGGGAAAGGAAGCGGAGGGTGGGACACCGGGTGGCACCACAGCTCCCACCCCGGGGTCCGCCCGGCCCTGCCCGCCTCTCACCGCCCCGCGTCTGCTCCTGCAGCAGCGTCCTCAGGATGCGGCCCTGCAGGGCGCTCAGCTCCCGCAGCCGGCCCAGCTCCTCCGTCAGCTCCGTGTAAGCCAGCGCCAAGTTCACCCTGAGGAGACGCAGGCCCCAGGTCACGGTCTGACCCCGCCTCCCCTGACCCTGAGGGCAGAGGGCAGGGAGCAGGGAGGAGGAGGAGAGTGGTTGCCTGTCCCCTCTCTCTCCTCCCCTCGGGCCTCCTACCCAGGTTCAGTGCCACTGCCTCCAGGGAGCCCCCTCTCCTCCCGCAGGTGTGCCCGGGGCCAGGGCAGTGGCTCCCAAACTATGGGCCGGGGCTGGGGAGCTCAGTGATGCCTGAAGGGTCCCTGAATCCAGGAGCTCCCTGAATCCTACGGCCTGACCATGTCCCACACAGGCATGTGTGAATGTTTTCCCAATCTGTGCGGAGCTGCGGTGACCAATAAAACACAGACCCATCAAAGAGCCGCACGGCGTGGCTCGTAGCTTTTGTCCCCGTGCGTTTTTCCGAGAGCCTACTGAACGAGGAAGCGCAGTCCGTGTGCCACCTGCAGGGGTCCGGGAAGAGCCCTCAGCTCTGCAAGGCCAGGGACCCTGTGGCTCCCCCTGAGAGCTCCTTCTGCAAGCGAAGGGCTGGCCTCCGGGTTGGCAGAGGTGCCGACAGATACACGGAGCCGGCGCCTGCCCACTGCGGCCGGGCCATGGCTTCCATCTCTGAGCGGCCTCGGAGCTCCTGTCGGCCCTGCTCCGCCCCGGGGCGCCAGGGACAGAGGGCTGCGCGCTCACCGGGGGCGGGGGCACCCCTCGCACTGGAAACCTCCCCGAGTGGCCCTGTTCTGGAACCGCCCTGGCAGTTCCTTGAAGGCGGGAGCTAGATCCCTGACTGCACCTGTGTCCTCAGCACCTCAGCACCGGGGCCTGGCACCCACACACGGATAAGGAGCTGAGCCTTCCCGCCCATTTTTCTTTCCTCCTCCACTTCCTGCTGGGACCTCCTGGGCGCCCACCCTCACCAAGCTGGAGCAGACTGTGCCCGTGGCCAAGGCTTCACCCACGTCCCTCTTTCCTTTCTCTCCGGGTCCCTTTGGCCCAGAACCTCCGAGGCTATCACTCTCAGCGTTGCCCCTTCCCTCCCTCCCACCCTGGCCTGCTCGCCCCCAGAGAGACCTTCCCGCCTCTGCCTTCTGTCCTGGGCTTGCACGGAGTCTGGGAGGCAGGGGTTTGGGTTCTCCTGCGTCCCCCCTACCTCACCAAGGCCAGAAGGGACTCCGGAACTTGGCAATTGGAGCGGGAGGGAAGTGACAGGCAGAGGCTCAGCCACTCCGGGTGGACCACTCCCCAGGGCAGGCCCTGTAGCCCCAGGAGCTGCAGGGCCCTGGGCAGGAACGAGGCGGGGACTTCTCCAGACCCTCCCTCAGGCCCGGCCGTACCCCACCATCCGGCACGGGAGAGGGGATGTGTGTGGACGTGGACGGGAGGGAGTGGAGGTAGGTGTGAGGCCGGTACGGTGAGTGTGTGTGTGTATGTGTGTGGGTGGCCGGGGAGGGGGGAGGGGAAGTCGTGAGGTTAGGGCCTCAGAGGGCAGGAAAAGCCGGGGTGCAGGGCAGGTAATGACTGAGCCTCACTCTCACTCTCCACTCCCGGGCCGGCTCTCTCGCTAGCGCTGGGGGGTGGCGGAGACCATGGCGCCTCCCACAACAAAACTATCTTGGGGTCAAAGCGAAATCGTTGCAAAGGGGCCAGGGCTCCCAGGGGCACGGGGCTACTTCTTAGGGAGGGAGATGGAGATGGAAGAAAGGGGGTCCTTTCGGGAACCTCCCCTGAAGGCCTGCACGCAGCCCTCTGTCCCGTCACACCCCAGCCCCGGTGTTGGCTGAATGTGTCCAGCGTCCACCCCCTCAGCCTCCGGGCCTGTGGGGAAACACCATCTGCGTTTTACACTGGGGACTCCGCAGTGGGAGGCCACCCCTTCAGGCCTGGGGGAATCTGAGGGCGGGAGCTGTGTCTCCCCATCTGACTGGGAGCTCCTTGGGCCCGCAGGCCCCGCAGTGGGGGGAGGAGAGGGGAAGGGCCGGGCGTCCTCCTCTGACCGAGCAGCCACCGTTCCTCTCCTCACTCCTCTCCCCTCTGCAGCCACTGCTGCATCTCAGGTGACAGATGCAGGTCGGTGCCTTCACACCCGGCTGGGAGCTCTCACCTGCCGCCCTCAGGTCCCAGGCCCCTGGCTCTCCCCTGCCTGCCTGCCTGCACTTGCCAGGAGCTAGCCCAGTTTCCAGCGCCCCGCTTCTGGCAGCCCCTTCACACAGAGCACACAGAGCAGCAGGAAGCGGAAGGAAGGGATCCCTGGCCCAGAACGGCCAGCCCCTCACGCCTCTGATCCGGGGGCAGGGGCAGGCAGGCACTGTCCTGCGGGAACCCCGGGCAGCCCTCCCCGAGATCTGAGGCCTGGCCAGGCGGCGGGAGCCAACCCCCTGGTGCCCTATGACCCTTGGGGAGCTCCCCCTTCTCTGGTGTCCCTCCCTGCCTCAAGATGCAGAGCCAGGCTTCGAAAAACACAAACGACCCGAATGACTCACATTAGAAAACACTGCCAATTCAGTGGAAAAAAATAAATCTCAACTTCACAACACAACCCAGGGTCCCACACATATACCCGAAGGCACATTCTGTTTCCGGGCTTCCTGGACCTGCTGTGACCTACTATCGGGGCTGGTCGGAAGGATGGGTCCTGCGGACGGCATTTGGGTGCTGCCTTATGGCTTAGACTACGGGGGGGAAGCTCTGAGTCTCTCGGAACCTGGGACGGACCCAGGGAGAAAAGAATCACAAATCACCTGTACGCGCGCTCAGCCCAGGCCGGGCCTGGTGCTGGGAACTTCGCTTACTCCTCACAACCACCCTACGGTGCTGCCGCTGTTCCCCCCACTTTATAGATGCGGATATGGGGGTTTCCAGGGGTTACGTGCCTGACCCCGATCACAAAGCCCAGGGGTCACGGAGCTGCTGGGATGGGAGCTCTGGCCTCCTGGACGCCAGAGTCCAGGCTACCGGCCATATCCTGTACTTGGCCTTCCAAAAGGAACAGGTAAGGGAGGGCAAGGAGATGGGAAGGCAGCAGAGGAGCAGGAAGAGGCTGGAGACCTCCCAAGCGGCCGGGGGCCCTGAGCATCACCACCCGCCCAGAGCAGAGAGGAAGGAGCCAGACACATGTGGAAGTGGTGTCTCGGGGCTTGGGAGAGGCTGGCCCAAGGCCGAGAGCCGTGACGACACAGAGCAGGCGTCCCAACAGGCTCTTGGCTCCTGGGCCTGCCGAGCTGGCACCTCCGGAGGAGCACATGGCAGAGCTGGCAGGAAGGAGGGCAGCCTCTGCTGCACGTCTTGCCACCCTCCATTGACTTATCCTTCCATTCACTCTTCCCACTTGGCGCTCGGGGATCTCACAGATCCGCCCGGCGAGCGCAATCCTCAGTTATTCCGAAGCCACCGGGGTGGGACCCGCCAGAGGCCCGCATGTCCTCCCCTAGGCAAGGCCTTTCTGCCCCACGCCGGCGCCCTGTGTGGGAGCACCCGTGAGGACGCGGCAGGGTTGGCGTTCACGCGCTGGGCCATGGATCGGAATTAGGGATGGGCTTGAGGTCAAGGTGAAGGCTAGGGTCAAGGTGAAGGCTGGGTTCAGGGTCAGATTAGGGTTGGGGTTGATAGTTCCTTTTCAGTCAGAACTGTGGACAGAGTTGGGGTCAGGATAAGGGATAGGGTTCGAGTCAGGGATGGGGTCCCCATTAGGGTTAGGAACGGGGTGAGGGGCGAGCTGGCCACGGGGTCAGTCGGAATCACGAACCGAGTCAGGGCGGGGAGGAGCACAGACACCAGCCTTCCTCGCCCTCCCGTCGTTGCCCACGGCAGCCCTCCGATGCCCCCAGTCACCTCACCCTGCGGGTAAATATAGGGACCAAACTTTCCGCCACCCACAGGCACGCCCAGCACCAGTCTTCCCACACGACCCTCAGGGAGGGGACCACGGGCACCAGGCCATGGAGCGGACTTGAGGTTACGGGCCGCGGCGGGGGGAGGAAGTCGCTCTGCAACAACCCAGCGCTCCACCACTTCCTCTCGGGCGCCTTGAGCCCTTCACGCTCCTCGACCAGCTACGACTTGCGGTCCCCGGAGCCGGCTCCCCAGGGCCGCCCTGCCATGCTTCCAGCCCGGGCGCCTCCCCCACGCAGCCCAGCCAGAGTGCCCGGCTCGGCGAGGGGCCGCACAGCCCGGTTTGCCTGCCAGAACTGTGCTGGTTCACGCTGGCTGCACCAGCGTCAGTGCTCATGGCGCCCCTGGCACTTGTCACAGG